ACACAATAAAACTCAAATTAAATGTTATTTGACTGGAGAATAAATCAAGTAATATCGGCGATAAATTAGCTGATACCGATCGTCACTGGATACGGTGATATCAGCCGATATTATCGTCTGGCAGATAAATCGGTCGTTTTTTTTGTTATTAATACACAGAGACCAAAAGTCGACACTTAATAATAATAATACTAACGACACAAAACATCCTGACATTTCTTCAGGGCTTTAGAAACAAACATGGCTGACTCATAGAGCTGGGTAGCGTCAACAACCTCACGATTCGATCCCATTTAAATTATTTGGGTCACAATTTAGACTGACGACAGAAATACCAGATAACTCCTCACAGCACCTTCTCATATGTGAGATCATTATGTGTACATTGTTTGTAAAGGTTTAGAACAAACAGACCCAAAAATGGATTTTTATCGTTGCAGATTAAAACATTAAAGTACAGCTGCACCCACAGTGCCCCCGCTGGAGAGGGGTGTCATTACAGTGGAAATAATCGATCTCAGGATTTCCCGGATATTGAATTGTGAAAAATATAATTGCAATGCATCGATAAATCTCTTTAACCGGCCTTACCGACTTAATAAAGGTCTCCATCCTGTCCTCATCAGAGCTCTGAAACGTTTCAGGATTCTGAGCATACGTTTCATTAATCGAAGGCGTTCTTAACCCGTCATACAAAAGGACATGTACTTATTTGTACGTTTCTGTCATTTGTCGCTCAAACAAAACGTTTAAATACAAACATTAAATCTCTAACATTAATCTCTTGTGAATGAAAAGCAGCAGAAAGATGAATTATCTGATACCATCGGCTCCTCTTTGACAAGACACTCATCAACAAAGCATGTCATTATTATTGTTTTTGTTTTTTATTTAGTAGCTGCAGGCCAACACAGCCACTCAGTTATACTCAATTTCACAAATTATCTCCTCGAATACATCCGATTAAATCGATTTAATATGAATTTTTTGCTGCTGGATGCTTTTAGCTGTAATGAAGACTCTGACTGTATAAAAAACCTCATCTATAAATATTATTCTGAGGGTCGAGCAGATGTAGAGAACAGCTGCAGACTCTGGAAACCTTCGATTATTCAGTGAAGAAGAATGGGATTATAGGTGTTTTATATCTATCACACCTGAGCTGCCCCTCAAACGTTTATTCTAAACTTTGGAGACATTTATTCCTCCCTGCCGAACTTCAGACTGGACTGTAAGGAACTTAAAAAACACAAGTTGGATTCTCTGGGAGGTTTCCACATCGGCACACACTGAGTTAATGTTTTAATGATTAACATTTTTACTTGGATTTGGCTT